GAGCCCGGTGCCCCGTCCTCAGTCCCCGGCCTTGGGCTGGGCCTTGGCGCTCGGCGCCCTGGGCCCGTGGGGCCGGGCAGGGAGGCGTGCGGGGCTGCCGAGGTGGCTTCAGAAGAAGGCTGTGTGCTTTTTTGGGGAGAGATTGGGTACTGGTTGAACGACAAAGCTCAGAGGGTTTGTGGAAAGTGGTGCAGAATCTAGCTGGAGATCTGTGTCTAGTGGTATTCCCCAGGGTGTAGCACTGTGTCCAGCCCTGTTCAATATATTCATTAATGACCTGGATAGAGGGATAGAGAGCACCATTAGCAAGTTCACTGATGACACAAAACTGGGAGGGGTGGCTGACAGGCCAGAAGGTTGTGCTGCCATTCAGCGAGACCTGGACAGGATTGAGAATTGGGGAGGGATAAACTTAATACAATTCAACAGAGGCAAATGTACTGCATCTGGGGAATGAAAAGTCCATGTATCAGTACAAGTTGGGGGCTCATCTGCTGGAGGGCAGCTCTGGGGAAAAGGACCTCCTCATCCTGGTGGACAGCAGGCTGGCCATGAGCCAACAAAGTGAGCTTGCAGCCAAGCTAGTAGGTGAAGGGAGGTTATCTTCCTTCTCTGTTCTGCTCTGATGAGGCCACATCTGGAATAATGTGTTCAATTCTGGGCTCCCCAGCTCATAAAGGATAAGGAACTACTGGAGAGAGCCTGGTGCAGGGCCATACAGATGACTAGAGGAATGGACTGTATGCCTTATGAGGAAAAGCTGAGAGAGCTGGGTCCATAAGCATGGAGAAGTGGAGACTGAGGGGGGATCTCATAAATGGTTATAAATATTGAAAAGACAGATGTCAGGAGGATGGGTCCAGTCCAGGGCACCTCTGGGCGGCCCGGCCGGTGTGCGTGGGGATGGAGCTCCTGCAGGGTGGGCAGGGCACGGGCCGCTGCTGCTGCTGAGGAACCCGGCGATGAACCGGAGCGGGACGTGCCCTGTGTCACAGCAAGGATATGAGGGAAGCGCTCTTAAAAGGCTGTGCTGCCCTTCTAAAGCTGCTTTTTTTTTTATCGCTGTGGTTTTGTAATCTCCTGAGTGGTAGGAGGGCTGCTGGTGAGCTTTGGTTAAGATTTACGTGGGTATTGAAAAAAGGAGGCGCATTGGTTAATGTCTCTCTAAAGCATCCCTCGTTCTGACCGCTACCCTGAGCAGTCCTGACTACAGGCAGCGGAGAGCTTGTAGTTCCAGTCTGGAATGTGGCTACTTTGGGAACAGCAGAAGCCTTAACCTTCCAAACAAATAACTGAAAAGGGGCAGAACTGGTCCAGTGAGTCTCACTGGTCACCTCGCTGTCCTTAAGTCCTTCAGATGAGCATATGCACGACAGACCACGAGAGCCATAGTAGGAAGGCCAAGGAAAACACTTGGGGCTTTTCACGTGTGCGTCAGAGAATCATAGAGTGGTTTGTGCTGCAAGGGATCTGAAGGGCCATCTAGTTCCAACCCCCCAGCCATGGGCAGGGACACCTCCCATTAGACCAGGGTTTTCAAAGGCCCATCCAAGCTGCCCTTGAACACTTCTAGAGAGGGGACATCCACCGTTTCCCTAGGCATCCTGTTTCAGTGTCTCACCAGCCTCAAAGTGAATAATTTCTTCCTAATATCTAACCTTAATCTACCCTCTGCCAGTTTAAAACCATTCCCCCTCATCCTGTCACTACTTGTCGTTATAAAAAGTCCTGCCCCAGCTTTCATGTAGGCCTGTTCAGGTCCTGGATGGCCAGTATTGTAAAAGTGAGTCTCCTGCCGTGTCACATGAATAGTTCAGTTTATGGTAGTTTTCTGGTCTTTTTCATCTAGTTAGGCTTTCATTAGAGAAACAGGCATTTCTGGGCACTCTAACCCAAATATAACTACCAAAGGGAGTTCAGAGGGGAGTGTGCTCACTGTCCAAGCTTCTTTTCAGTGAGGCTAGTAGGGAGATTTGAAATGATTATTTTATTTTATTGTGGTGGTTGTTTGAGATGTGATGGGCAAAAAGAGTCTGAGATGTTAAGGTTTGTATTACAAAAATAGAGGTGGTAAAAAAGATGCACCTACCAGGGACCTCCTGGTTACAGAATTAAAGGGGCTGGTTTTAGCTGCTGCAGTAAATTCTTGTGAACTGTTTGGGTCTTGTGGTATCTTTAGATTATTATGATTATTTCTTTTTAGAAGTTGTCATTCTAGAACACACGGCTTTTGAAGTACTGTAGAACAACTCTTCTTTGGTGTGTTTTAGATTAAAACTTAACCTTTTTTTAAAGATGCTGCTAAAAGGTTCCCCTTGCAGTGATGAGAAAGGTACTCAATAGAAGTTAGAGAGGAAGAAAATAATCTCTTTAAACCAGAAGAAGAGAGGACTGTGTTCCAGGTGTCAGAAATGTGTGACAACCCAGATATTGATTTCAAAAGATTAACTTGCATTCGGTTCAATATTATCTTCTGAGCTGTTATGATAGTAAAGAAAACTTTCCAAATTAGTCTTAATACGATGTGATGCCTGGGTAGCTTTGAAAGGCCTAATCTAGGCAGAGTCATGCTTGTTTAACTGAAGTCATGATGCTAAATGAATGCAATTTGCTATATGGATACTTACCAGATTAGCTTGCACTTACAAATTGCAGGTGTAATTAATATGACCTCGTTTAAACTGGTATGAGTGTGTCTCTGTGATGTGGTGGTGGTTTAAATTCATGCGAGTTCTCCTCACATAGCTCTGTAGTGTCTCAACTGGCAGTGCTGTTGACAGTGCTGAGTTGCAGAGAATTTCTTGATGAAACCCATCAGGAAAATTAAACTGGGAAGACTGGTCCATTTTGTAGCAAAGTAGTGATGGGATGAGTTTAAGAGAGTTACGTGGATGATCAAAGATGTGGAAAACTTCTATGCAAGAAGCAACTAAGCATACTAGATCCTTTTAAGCTTGAAAACACGGTTGCAAAGGTACCCAGTATAGGTCTATATCCTCTCTATGCTACTTGTAATTTTAAACAAAGGATGAACATTCACTGTCAATACAAATTTAGAATTATCAAATTAAACTAGCAGCTGACAAGCTCAGAACAATAGGAGAGGCTGGTTCTTCCCCTAATCTGTGGCTGTGCTGTGAAACTCCCTGCCAGAGGATGTTGCAGCTCTTAAAAGCATATTTCTGGCTCAGACAAAAACTGAAAAAAGAAATTATGGAAGCAAAAAAGCAAGGACATTAAATGCAAGGTGCTGCCTTGTGCTCAGGCAGTGCCTGAGCTGCAAAATGTTGAGTGCGTGTCTGGAGAAAGTATGTTTGCTTCTATTGCTGCTTCTGAGAAGGCAGTGGGTGATCAGTGTTTATGCAAAAGCATAAAGATAGGGTAATGGCTAACCTAACCTTTACTCGGTAAAGCTGTTCTTACAGGATCAAAAAGCTGTGGGTAGCACCTTGTGGTCTGTGTGTGGTCCTGCAAAGCCACTGGTCTGAGCTGAGGCAGGGTGGGAGGACTAACTCTGCAGGGCTGAAGGAGGAGATGCAGGTAGGACCTAGCCCTTTCTGCTTTACCAACACAGAGGGGTTGATCTGCAGGATTTATCTTAGCCTTTGTTGGTGGATCATCCTCTGTTGTGTTGTAGCTTGCCTGGTAAATATTTCCAAGCACACTGTAGGCACAGCATCTGCAATATTATTTGCCAGCATGCAAAATGATTACAAGAGTGTGGTTAAAATGGAAGTGTGTCCATGAACTGCAAGTTAGAATTTGAATTTAAACAAAACTCATCTCTGCTGGACTGATTTTAATAATCCAGTCAAATTTGTGGCTGCAGAAACTACTAATTCTTCTGTGAGAAGAATTGCTCAAATGTGCTGGCAGGTGACAAGGCATGAGAAGACTGCTCAGGGAAGAGTTTTTTTTCTTTGCCCCCACCTCTTCAGTTGGCTTTGATCTGTTCTATGAGGGTCAGAAGAGGAAAACCTTATTACCCTGTTGGAGGTCAACGTGTGTGTGATATGGCTTTTTGCCAGTATCTTAATTAGGGAATTCATAAAAGCAAAGGGTGGCTGCCAGTTCCTGAAAAGCGCTTTTAGCCTTTCTGCTGGAAAGAAAGCTTTTATTAATTCATTACAAAATGTATTAAAAGGGATCCAGCTCAAGTCTGTAAGCAAAGCTGCTTCTTTCTCTCTTTGTCCCTGCCTTGATGTGAGCCATTTCAGGCTCCCTGGCCAAGATGGTCCCAACAAATGAGATTTGCAATAACCATGTAAGCCAGTTTGGACTGAAATCTGCTCCAGGTCTCTCTGGTTGAAAAAGGTCTCCAGATTGCAAGTGAGTGTTGCCAGAATTCAACAAAAATGGCTTTATGCCTAGTCATACCTTGTGGTGCAAGGAGGCATCTAGTTTTAGATCCCCGTCTGTGTCCAAAGCTGCTGGGACTTGACTTTCTGTAGTGGCTTTTGAGGCAGCTTTGTGTGCCCTGAGCTGTTGCCTGGATGTGCAGCACCTGTTTCACTTGCTCCTTTTAACTGACAGTACTTAAATATCTTACTGCAATACAAGTCCTGTGTCCCTGCTACAGGCCATGTGAACCCAAGGACTTGCATGTGAGCTTTCTGCATGCTGTGCTTCAGCTCTGTCGCCCAGGGGATCTCCTTCATGGAAGGGAGAACCTGGAGGAGCAAGCGTTTGTCTTTGCAACTTACAAGCCACTGTGCTGAGATTGCTATGAAAAAGACAAGCCAGTGTGAGGTATGGTGAAGGCTGAGATAAGTGACCTTGCCTCTTCATTTTCATGTGGGCCTCCAGTAGGCCTAGGTATGTACCCCAACTAATCTTCTCATGTATTAGTCAGTAGAAGAGAAAGCTTTCCATCTGCAACAAGCTCAGGTGTGCACCTGCTTCTGGGATTATTCTTTTGGAGAGCTGCTGTATGGAATTATGCCAGAGCTCTACAGGTTTTCTTGTGCAACAGCTTGACAGGCTCCAGCACCCATGGGAGCTTCCTCAGCAGCCCAGAGAGTAATCAGTATTTTACAGGCATTGCTCTGATTTCTCCCTGTGGTTATTTTCTGTTTCTCTCTTTCCTTTGCACTACAGTGAAGAGTTAATTGGATGACTGAGCTGCTGAGAGACTCCTGGGTTGCAGGAACACATCCCAAATCCCAAGTGAGGCACTGACATATCAAGATCAGTGGATCAGTGTCTGAGGCTGCTTGTGTAAAGGAGCCATCACCAGGAAGCAGATTGTATTGTCTTAATTTAAAAGTAGGGAAACTGACACACAGTAAAGGGATAACATCTGGGAATCTTCACTCTCATCCTTCCTTGCAACCCCTAATGTCCCAGAAAGCCTAAAGAAAAATAGTGAGATTCTGGCAGAAAATTATTTTGTTCATTCAGCAATCTGTTCCTCCTTCCTTGCTTTTTAAAAATTAATTATTTATTTTCTGTCCCTTGTGCCCCCAACTCAGCAAAGCTGATGATGCAGTTCTGTGGCATGTGTTTTATTAGCTAAATGATTGCTCTCCAGCAGGGGACCCAAACTTTGGTTTTGATTTAAGAGCCGTAAAACCAGGTGAAACTTTTAAGGTACTGTGTGGAATCTGGAGAATTTTTAGTCAGCAGAAAATAAAAGCATTGGCAGAAGTGGGCAGAATATCCTCTTATGTCTCATGAAATGACAGAAGTATGGGCAGAGAATGTTCTGGGGAGAGCAACTGCAAACTGAGCAGGAGGAGCAGTTCTGGAGGGAGGAGAGGAAATGCGATGACATGGACAATTTAGTGGTGGGGTTGGCAGCTGACTAACCAAAGCTCTCATTAAATTGTATTACTTTATTTTTAAACATCCTTCCAGGGAAGGCGTGGTGCATTATACTAAGTTTACTGGCTAAGGAGGAGCCTGGTAGCACATGCTGAAGTACTTCTTGCTGTGTGTATATGTGCGGTTTTCCAACAGATAAGTGAACAGGGAGACATTTGCAAATGGTAGGTACTAGTGGGGGGAGATCGTCATTCTTAAATTGGACTGGACAGATGCCCCACTTCCACACTGCTCCACTCTGCCATCAAATTAACTCGCTGGTGTCATCAGAGCTGACTTGGGTGAAGCCTTTGGTCAGCCCTGGAACAGACTTGGTTTAATATCTGAGTTGTAGTGGATGATGGATAGAGATGAGCAGCTGGAGTTAACATTTTCAACTGGCGCAGCTGGGTATGGAGGTGGACAATTATCTTTGCCCTGAACTAATGCATTTTCAGCTAACATGCTTCAAAAATATGTGTCCCCATCCAGGTAAACCCAAGCATAGTCAAACACGCAAGTGTCATTCCCTGTTCTCTGGGATCAGATGATGTGCCTTAGTGCCTCCCTTGGTCTCAGGGGAAGCTGTGCACATGCCTTTGGGGAGCTTGGCATCTTAATAGCCCTGGCAGAGCTGCCTAATAACAAGGGACTTTGAAATTGTCATCTGGTTAGATGCAACAGTTTATTTGAGCCTTGTTGTATGTGCCCCCCTCCCCAGATCTACTGTGGTCCTTGCAGGGAGACTGTTCAGCTGTGGTGGCTTAACCCTGATGGGATGCCAGGTGCTCACCAAAGCTGCTCTGTCACTCCCCTCCTCAGCTGGACAGGGGAGTGAAAATATTAAATACTTGCAGGTCAAGAACAGGACAGGGAAATCACTCAGCAGTTACCATTACTGGCAAAAGAGACTTGACTTGGGGAAAAATTAATGTAACCCCCTACCCCTCCCTTCTTCCCAGGCTTAATTTTACTCGAGTTCTCTTCCTCTACCCCAATGGCACAGGGGGTGAGGAATGGGGGATTCAGTCAGTTCATCATGCAGTTTCTGCTGCTCCTTTCTCCTCAACAGGGTGGACTTAGCACAGTCTTACTCTGCCCCAGTGTGGGGTCCCTCCCACAGTCCTCCTCAGACTCCTCCAGCATGAGTCATTCCGACAGGTGACAGTTCTTCGTGACCCTTCCATGGGGTGCAGTCCTTCAGGAACAGACTGCTGCAGCCTGGGTCCCCCGTGGAGTTACAAGTCCTGCTAGCAAACCTGCTTCAGCATAGGCTCCTCTCTCCATGCATTCACAGGTTGTCCAAGAGCCTGCTCCAGCATGTGTTTCCCATAGGGTCATAGCCTCCTTCATGCACATCCACCTGATGCAGTGTGGGGTCTGCCCCAGGCTGCAGGTGGGTATCTGCTGCACTGTTAACCTCCAGCCTGCCTCACCATGCTCTTCACCAGGGGCTGCAGGGGAATCTGCTTCAGCACCTACGAGCACCATCTCCTTCTTCACTGACTCCAATGCTGTTTCTCTCACATATTCTCACTCCTCTCTCCTGCTGCAATTGCTGTTGTGCAGGGTGTTTTTTACCCCTTCTTAAATATGTTATCACAGAGGTGCTACTGGCATTTCTGATGGGCTCAGCCTTGGCCAGCAGTGGGTCCATCTTGGAGCCAGCTGGCACTGACTGCATCAGAGGGGAAGCTTCTAGCAGCTTCTTACAGAAGCCATTGCTGTAGCCCCCCCCCTACCAAAACCTTGCCACATCAACCCAACAACTTAGCTGACTGGCTAAACTCTTTTTTGCAGTTTGCTTTGTTCTCCCCTTTATGTGACACATCTGCTCCCATCCTGCCTATTTATAACGCTTGCCTGCCTCTCCTGAGCAGAAGGTGTGAGATTGCTAATGAGCTCAGGATGGAGCTGATCCCCCAAGCAGCAATAATTAGGGATCACTACCTTTGATTTTGTTTCCCGTATCACTCTTTATGGGAGCATTTGTGGTCTGGGCCACCTCTGAGGCTGATGTCCAGGCAGCTGGTGTTCTCCCTCAGTGCTTTACCTGGTGTTGTGTTGCTTCTTAGCTTCTGGTTTGCAGTGCTTCCACCACAGAGAGGCCATGCTGCCAGCCATCTAGCCAGCCTTGGCTTTGCTTGGAGAACCAGACACAGAAGGACTGTTGTGCTAAGTATGGAGGCAGTAGTGAATGCTTTCTTAAACATACTGTGCAGACTGCTGTTGTAGATACAGTTGGGTAAAAGAGACAGTAGGTATCAGTGTTTCCCCTTTGTCCCCTCTTCACCCAAGCAGACAGCTGAGGGTACTCTGCAGTCAGTCCCATGAATTTCTGCATCTATTTCCAGCACTAGATCAAGACTGTGCTCTTCAGGCTTTGTCCAAGGCCAGTATTTCTCATTTTATCCTGGTCTAATTGCATAAAGATGCCTTAGATCCTATCTTTGCTTGTGGAGCCACATGCAAAGAAACTATAGCAGGTTGGAACCAGATGAGATCTTAGCAAAAGGTGCTGGCCAGGGATACAAGTGGCAGTGTTAGAGCTGGCTTGGCTGTGTCTGGGATGCAGGCTGATGTAAGAGGTGGTGGGCTCTCTACTGTGATCTCTGCACAGAGCTGGGACTATTCCTTCCTTAATTTGGGGAAGAAAAAGGTGAAGTGGCTGTCCTGTCACCCTTCCCGTCTGAGTGAGGATGGATCCATGTTAGCTAACAGAGAAAACAACAGCAACGTGGTGTTTTTCAGATTGATGGACTGGAGGAGAAGCTGGTGCAGTGCAAACAGAGCATGGAGGAGCTGGATCTGAAACTGCGCAAGAAGCTCAGCCCCGAAGGAAGGTATTATTGACCACCTCCCTTCCCAGTTGTGCCTGTGAACTTCATCTGGCTGTCATGCTGCTGTAATACTAAGCAAGGGCTCTTGAAGGGATGGGAATGTGGTTTCCCAGGAAAAGGATCTTTTCCCCAGTTTGGAGCTTGCTTGGGGAATTTGCCAGGGTACGAAGTTCAGTGTGATTATGGAGGGAGCTTTATTTTATCAACAGTCTTACCCTCCAGCCTGCACTGCAACCAGCCAAGCAGTACCCAAAACTTGCCAGTTCATTTGCATGGCTGGCTCCTGGCCTGCTAGGAGAGTGTTCTGCAAGTCTGGCAAAGGTTCCCTGCACATTGCTACTCAAGCCTGCCAAAGCTGCCTGAGGTCAATCAGAGGATACAGGCAGCAACCTCTGCTGAGGGCCAAAACAGACTGGGATACAACTGAGAAAGGCACTGAGGGAAATTATTCTATCTGTGCCTGAGTTGCAAATGTATCTGGATGTAGGAATGCAAAGAAACACAGCTTTTACTTGGAAAAGGGAAGAGGGACAATTCCCCTGAATCTGTCACTGACATAGAAGAAGCAACAGCAGGCTTCTAGAGCTGAGACTCGAGTAAGGGCTTTGACCTGTATTTTGTAGCAGATGCAGGCAGAACCTACTCTTTCTCTAGAGTGTGAAGCAAGAGATCCTAAATCTCCTGGTTAATTCCCAGATCTGTCTGCTTGAGGACATTCTTGTAGTCACCAGTATCTTATTGCTCTGCTTCTAGCAAAACGACTGGGAAGCTCAGTTGTAGGGCCAGGGAGCAGTTGGGTCCTTGTGACTGCTCTACAGTGCAGCTCTACAGAACCCAGTTAGAAGTGATACTAGCAGTGGTAGCATAGAAACATAGAATAATTTTGGTTTGAAAAAGATCTTTAAGATTATCAAGTCCAACCATTACCCCAAGACTGCCAAGTCCACCACTAAAAAAATGTCCCTTAGCACCACTACTACATGGCTTTTAAATACCTCCAGGGATGGTCACTTGACCACTTCCCTGGGCAGCCTGTTCCAGTGGCTGAGAACCCTTTTATTAGCCTCAGGTTTTCTTCTTTGTTCCCCCTTTCCACTCTGTTACTTTGCTCTGTCTACCGTTCCTTGAGCCAGCCTGTTTTTCCCTCTTCCTTTACTGGTGTTTTATATCTCCATCCATATTTGGACAGGGTCCTGTCCCTCTTCTCTAGCTCATCTCATCAGCCCTTCATCCAGGCCTAAATAATTTTTACTGTCTGTATTCTTTATCCGCTGCTGAAGTAACCAACAACAGTTGTGGTAACTTGACAAGATAGAATATATCTGTATGGTTTCTCTCTGAAATACAAGGTCTAGAGCAAAGAATTAGGATTAGGGATTCCTGGGACCTTTTCTGAATTTTACAACATGTATGGAGATGGAAACAGAAATTCTGTTGCCGTAACACAGATTATTCAGAAAAATATAGAGGAAGGTACCATGATCAAAATTATTGATTCAGTGAGGAGTGCACAAAGGAGAGCTCTGCTTTCCCATTTTGAAGTTCAGTTGTCATGAATTTTCAGGTCTCATTCTCAAAGCCTCTTCTCTTGGCTCTTTTCACAAGGCCAGTTTCTAAGTAGCAGCTCAGCCCTGTTGGTAAATCTGTCTTCTCACTTCCTCCTGACTGTACTCTGTTGCCTTTCCCAGGTGTCTTTAAGAGCCCTCTCCTCCTGTGCTGCTCTGACTTAGCTTGCTTCCTTGCCCTCCCTTACTTAACTAGCTGTACACATAGATTCAGATCTCTTTCTTCCTACAGGTCCTTCTCTGCCCCAAGGGGAAACAATGAACTGTTAACACTTACTGCCTCCTCTGAACCAGGAGATAAATTTGTTAGTGCATATTTGTTTATATAGAGTCTGAAAGGAGTGACACTGTCCTCGCTGCTCTAATGGAAATGCTGCTGCTTTCAGGCAATTTGCTTTGCATTTATGTTTTAATCTATCTATTAATTAATCATCTTGTGCAGTTTAAGACAAGGACTGGATTGGCCTGACTGATTTTTTTATTGCTATTATCCTGAGTCTTAGTTGTTAACAGGTTGTTTGACTGGTTTTTAATGGGCTTGGATTCAACTTGTTTCCTTGAGTTGACCAATTTCTGTAAATTGGATACCTCTGACAAAGGGATCCCAGCTTCAGTCAGTGACAAGATTTAGCAATCCACCCCACCAGATGTGTTGGGGGGCAGGATCCTGCAGAGGTCCTGTAAGGGACCCTGCCTCTTCCCATAGCAATGGCAGAGCTTCCTACCCCACCCCAGGGGGTTCTTTGACACACAGATCCCTTTCTAGCCTGTTTGACACTGACACTGTCATGAAAGGAGATATATGAAGCAATTTGGGGGAAGGAAAAAAAAAAATACAGAACTGCTGCATCTCATCTCTTGCACAGCTGGAGAGTTCTAAACTGTCGCCTCCCCACAGTGAAGGGTGAGGGGCCCATTTTGTGAGAAGATATCACCAGCAGTGGGACAGTTTCTCTTCCATCATATAAGCAAAGAAGGCTGGTTTGTGCCTTACAGGTAATGAACTCCTCTTCTCATTACAGAAAGTCACTGGAGAGGGAGAGAAACCTACTAATGACCAAAGCTGACAACTATGGTAAGAGCTTCATTAAAAATGGTCCCTCTGGGCTGGATGGGATCAGTGCTGCATCTTAGCTTTGTCTTGAGGCTCCTGCCACCTCTGACTTATGCCTTTGAATTTAGGCTCAACCAAAGGGAGCTAGACTGAGGGAAGTCTAGTCAGCATATTATAACAGGCATCTGGATCCTCCCACCTGAGCTGTGGAAAAAAATAAGCATCAACTAATGAGGGGGGAAAGATGTCCCCCAGATTACTAGTCTTCAGATAATCTTAGCCAATGGACTGACTTGAGTGGCTTTTAACATTCAGCCCCCTACTTTTATTTTTTATTTTTCCTTCTTTTATTTTTTAAGAGGCACACTGAGCAAGCTGCCAAGTGCTATCTGGAGTGTAGCAAAGTATGCCTTCTCTGGGGAAGGTTCTCACTGCATCAGTTTCTGGGGCTGTTCAGCACACAAGCATAGAGATTCACACTGACATGCTGCCTGCAATTCCAGAGAGCCAGGGTTTTCCCTTGCTGCAAGTCCTGCTGTATACAGTCAAAATGAGAGTCCCTCCAAGCCACCACACAATTGACAGCACTTTTATTCCCCTAGGGATGCTGGTTTGCATGCCTTCAAGTTCCTGTTTTGCTAACTGCATGACAGCACTCTGAAGCCATGCAAGCACTGGAGCTTATACAAGAGAAATGCAAGTGTTCTTTTAGGCCTGCAGTGTTGAAGAGTGGGGTATGGCAAGCAAATTTGTAATTTTTAACTCATGTTTAAAGGACTGTTTCCAAAAGACTAACAGTTACTATAAAATCATTAAAAGCTGTTCCCTAAGGACATACCACTAGAGACAGCAGAAGACTCTGCATGTCCCTGCCACCCTTTTTCCAGCAGTCAGCCCTCACTGCTAGCATCAACAGAAGAATCTGACAGGCTGCTCAGACAGCTGCAACAGCCTCACCTAATGGTGATGGCTGCTTCTCCTGGAACGGAACAGTGCATGTGCACTCAGTCTTTTCAGATCACTGCTGTGGCCTCAGATTAAACCTCTGCTTATTCCAGCTGATGCACTCAAGGCTGTGAACAGCAGTTGCTGTCACTGGCATTGCTCCATCAGTTTCAGCTGGGACTACTCTGCTTGGGGTTATGTGATCCCCTACCCCTACCACCACCTCTGTAGCCCTGCAGATTCAAACAGTTTGCCCTGTGGTTGCATGAGAATGCTTGTATTAGGTGAAGAATGAGGCAGAAAGAACAGATAAAAGCCTCTCTTGATTTCAGCACCAGTAAGGGAACCTGCAGGACCAGGGCATTCCT